CAGCTGGTTTTAAAATTCCAAATTTTAAATTTCCAAGGCACAGCAGCTTTCTCCTGCATATTTTTTTCCATGTGAGTTATCTCCCTGTGTTCGGTATTTTCCTGTTGGGGTGCTTGCTCTAGAATTGCTATTGTTGATTTTTAAGAACTCTTTGTGGGGACCAGCAGTTAGTGTAATGGCTATGTCGCTGGACTCCCTAGTCGACCACGGTTTGAGTCCCGGACTCGGTGGCTTAAACTCACGCCGGTGTGTGTGCGTGCGTGCCCAAGAACAGGAGTTGCTCTGGAATGGAGAGCGGGTCCTTGCAACACGAGGATGGCGGAGGCCTTGTTGGGAGGCCAGGGCTCTCCGTCCTCCTGCCAGCCCCAGAGCTCGCCCACGCTGGAGCTGGTGCCACAGGTGACCCAGCGTGTCACCCACACACATGGGTCGGGGGCTGGGGACTGGGGTCACCCACAGCCTCTCTCCTTGTGCCCAGGACCCCCGGGGCTCCGGCAGACTCTCAGCTGAGGCTCACCAGGTTCCCGGGCTTCCTCCCAATGGCCACTCTGGACCGAGCACCCAAAAGGCGGCTCTGCCCAGATGGCTCTGCAGCTCGGGGACCGTGAACACATGCTCCAAGGACGTGAGCCCACCCTGGAGCTGGCCCTCCCTACCACCCTCTGAGGCTGTCACCAAGAGACTCTGGTCCTACAATCTACCCACTGCCTCCATGTATGTGTGCAGGGCTCGGAGGGCCATGGGGAGCCTGGCTGCCGACGGAGGAGGGCAGGGTACCCCCAGGCATCTTCCCTGCACAGCCCCTCGAGAGCCTGGGGTGTTGGCCCTGCTCCTCTGCCCCTGCCCTCTGGTCCCTCCTGTCCCCGGACCTTTCACCGTCTCTGCCCCCAAGTCCTGGCCACACCCATAGGCCCGAACACGTGTGGGCCCCCGCTGTCCACACAGCTCCTCCGTGTTCCGCCTCTCTTAGTACCCTCACTCTGTGTCACCCACAGAGAGTTTGTCCCTGCCCCAGCCTCCTGCTCTGAGGCCCCACACCTGCGGACTCTCCCTCGGAACATGCAGAGGTGATGCCCGCACCGTCCACTGCCCAGGAGACCCGCCCCATCCAGAGCCTTCACCACGGCCTGTACAGTTACAGGAGATATGCCCACATCGGTGTGTTACAACCCAGCGAGCCAGAGGCCAGCCGTCCATCTAGCAGCATGGTAGTTTAGGTGCTGGACTCCCACGTGGCTGACCACGGTTCAAGTCCCGGACCCAGTGGCTTGAAACTCACACCGGGTGCATGTGTGCGTGAGCCCAAAAATCCTAAGAGAAGAATGGAGGAGGAGGGATTGCAAAATGGCCAACACCCCTGGAGGGTGAGATCTCTGATAACTCACTGTCTCTCTCTCTCTCTCTAGAAAGCGCACACATCCTATAGCAAAAACCTGACCAAAAAAAAAAAATACACGAGCCACTGTAAAGGCGTTGAAAAGAGAGACTTAATCCGATTATGGTGTTGAGTCAAGGCCTGGGGACCAGCAGTTAGTGTAATGGCTATGTCGCTGGACTCCCACGTAGTTGACCGTGGTTTGCGTCCAGGACCCGGTGGCTTAAAACTCACGCCGGGCGCGTGTGCGTGCGTGCCCAAGATCTCGAGAGGAGAATGGAGGAAAAGGGATTGTGGCGTGGCCATCCCCCCTGGGGGGTGATTTCTCGCTTTCTGTCTCTCTGTCTCTCTCTGTCTGTCTGGCGAGCGCACGCGCCCTATAGCAAAAAAAAAAAAAAAAAAAGTCAAGGTCTTTGGGGGTGACATCAGGGTGGGGCCCTGTGATTTGGTCAGGTGGGTTTATAAGGAGGGAGGAGACAGAGATTGCTCCTCTGTTCCGGCGTCTGGTCCCACTGTGTCACCCACCCACAAGAAGACCCTCACCAGATCGGGCCCAGGCCTGGCACTTCCCAACCATGAGCTAAGGTCTTATTCTCTGAAATCACCCAGACCCAGGCATTTCTGATCCTAGAGATAGGACAGACTGGAACACCTCCCCTCGCCCCTGGGCCCTGAGAACCGAAGACCCAAGCTCGGGAAGACACGTGGCCTTTGGGGTGGCTCTCCCCTCACGCTCGTGGCCTGGACGTGGTTTACGATCACCTGCGAGCCCCACCCCTGCTCCTTCTGACCAGGCAGAAAAGACCCAAACAGTGGCCCAGGGGCCACAGCAGACCCGGGGCAGCCTGGCCACGGCAGACACTCCGCGTGGCTCTGGAGAAAGCTGACCCTGCCACATCCGACGGGGGCCTGCACGATCCCGGCTGCGAACGTGCACGGGGCTGCAGGCAGGCAAGGGAAAACGCGGCAGGCCGACAGAGCCGCCGGCACTCGGGGACCCGGTCTGAGCGTCGCGACCCGGCCAGCTGACATTCCTCGGGACTTACTTGATCCCCACAGCAAATCCTTGCGTGACTTCGCCCGCGTTGGGGCCGAGGAAGTGCAGGCCCAGCACCAGCTGTGGGGGCTCCCTCAGGCACACCATCTGAAAACACAGCGCCTCTGTCCCTGGCCTGGCAAAGGGGCCCGGCTGTGTCCCATCCCTGTGGCCCAGCCTAGAGGTGGATGTTATCACAGCCCGGCTCTCCCACCCCCAGGCCGGCCTTTTCCCTCCCTCCTCCTTACCCCAGGGGTCCCAGCCTGGCCCGGGAGGATGCTCACCTTTATGTAACACTGGGACGCGTCCCGCTCGGCCACCGTGAACTCCAGCGGTTTATAATACGCGTGATAAACCTGGGTGACAGCGTACCGAGCCCGGAGTCAGGGGCTGCAGCCAACACGCCCTGTGGGTGTCCTGTGCCCCCGGGGCACAGCGGGGGCCCAGAGCCACCCACTCAGCCCCAGCGTGTGGTCCAGGGAGAGAGTTCAGCCTAACTGCCATCAAGTGTCCCTTGCTCTAGTGGCTGGAGTGACACTGTCTGCAATACAGATGCCCTCCTGTCCAGGCCCAAGATGCCAGAGACCCCCATGGTGCAGTGCACACCAGGCACCCAAGGGCTGCCTGCCCACCAGGACACTTTGCAGAGCCCACGGCTCAGGGCAGAGCACTGGGGCAGCCCCTGAGTGCACACCGGGGTGGACGCAGGCCTCCCTGATGGGCACGGGACAGGGTGACTATAGTCGTGGAGGGGGGTGTCCAGCCCACCCAGTGGGTGCAGGAATGGGTCAGCGGGCACTGCCCAGCCTGTCCCAGGCACCCCGATGCTCAACCAGCCCTGGCGTGAGCGAGGAGGCGGCAGGCATGGGACAGGGGCGGGCGCAGGGCGGGAAGGCCCCGGCCACACCGGAGCTGTTGGACAAAGGCTTTCAGCACCACGGCGGGTGCGACGGCGCGGTCAGGGCCGCAGTGGCGGTAGAAAGGAGCCGGGCCCTCACATGTGCTGCACAGCCATTAGTAATTAATGGAACTTCAGAGAATATTGTTCCAACTGAGACCGAATTGAAAAGAAAACAAACACAGGGTATTGGGCCATTCAACATCGTGAAACATAAAGCAACATTATAAACGCCGTGGACACATGTCCCAGGGCACTCGTGATGAATCAAACAAAAACAGCAAATAAAGCATGCGGAAGGCCGGCCTGGCAGGCCCGTCCCGTTGATGGAGAGGCCCGGGGTGTGGGGCAGGGAGAAGGGGCAGGTCCTGGAGCCCAGAGGCTCAGTCCCACAGGACACCAGGCCGGGCCGCCCAGAAGCTCAGTCCCAGAGGGCACCAGGCAGGGCCGCCCAGAGGCTCAGTCCCACAGGGCACTAGGCCGGGCTGCCCAGGCCACATGGGAGGAGGAGACGGGCAAGGGCACCAGCCTCGTAGCCCGACAGACCCAGAGCCTCCCAGCTAGCTCCAGGCCTCCTTGGCACTGTCTGCAGCG